CGCCCTGCCCCCAGCCCCAGGCTTTCACCATCCTATTGCCTGAGTCCATGGGTTAAGCATGTATGCATACAAGTTTTTTGGTTGAACATCTCCAACCCACCTACCCTCCTCCACCTTCTTAATTATAATATATTCTAGATTTTTTCTTTTTATGTTCAGTTCGGTTTTGGTAGGCTAAAGTACAGTTGCAGGAAGAGAATGCCAGATAACTTTGAATGATTTTTATTTCCGTCTGACTTTCTTTTGTAGTAAATATGTTGCCTCAGTACCAAAGTGCAGTGCATAGAAGTCACCATTCTCTTTATTGTAATCATATCACTTAGTTCAGTTATCATCTCCCTTCCTTCAGATGTCTTTTTCATATTTAGCCGCAAATGCTCCCAGTGTACTTTTCCATGCCCAGTGAACAGATCTGAGTGATTGTTCCAGAATTGAGATGGGCTCTCTTGATATCAGAGAATACGACTGATACCACCAATAGTTCTTATCTTTAGAACGGGCCTTACTTATGGTCAAAGAGAGCTGCTGTGGCTCTGTCATGTGAGAAGTCTAAATAGACCCACTCTGCCCCGCTGCTGCTTCTATGAGGACATGTTCTTACCACTGACTTTGGTTTAGGGAAAAGTGCCTGAAGGTTCTCCTACAACCTTCAAGAGTGGGATTACTGGGTTGCTTATACCAGCTGCCTCTTTCAACCACGATGGTTCCTTGAACATGAGAAGAGCCTTCCTCTTCCCAGCCCTCCCAGGGCTTTGCTCAATGAGGAACACTATATAGCAGAATCATAGCTGGGCTTCCAATCTGTTACCTCTGTGTGAACTAGTATGGTCCTATCTGCAAGGCTGTCTTCCCCCCGGATAGCGGGGCAGGACTGGAGTGGCGATCCAATGCGTGATATACCACTATTTCCTTCCATCCGCGACTCAACGCCCAGCCCACATGGCCTGTCACTTCCCTGCCCCTCGCTGACCTGTGGTCAGGTCTCTGCTGTGGGCAGGGAGAGCTCCTGTTCTCTGCCGGACAAGCTTTCATGACTTTGGATTTTAAAGAGCAGTGTGTGAATCTTGATTTCTTTCTGCCTCTAAAGCCCTTGGGCGAATTATGCAGCGGTTCCCAATTAATCCTCATTATATCCAAGCACAGCATATAAATAATTTTCCATTAAAAATTAAAGGTCTTCCTGCCACAAAAAGTTGTGGAAAATTGGCATAGGAAAGAGTCAGCTTGTTCTCTTTGACAATAGCATCTGTCACTTGGACTAACTTCCTGAGAATAATGAACGTGATAAAGGGATTGGGCTCAGTCTCTGCTCAGCACCTAGCACACTTATTTAGGTGCCAGGCCCCAGTACTGTTGTGTAAGTGAACAAACTCCATTGCATTCATTCACATGGAAAGGTTAGGCATTTGTCTCACAGAATACTCAGTGTTGGGAAGTTCCGGAACTCATTATAGCTGATGTAGTATGGCAGGTAAATTGATAGAAAATTAATTGGAAGACAGTTCCAAACATAATAGCTCAGCAGAAATATCCAGAATCAATTAATCAAACTGCAACTCATTTTCATTGGCCATACATTGGAATCTTTAATTAAGCTTTTAAACCTAATCCTATTTACAATACCGATGTTTTCCAGAATAGTTACATCTTAAAATAAGATATTAACTTGATACCTAAAAGTAAGGTAAAACTCTTCAATGCATGTATGACACATAGGTTTATATTTAATTATACATTACTTTTTTGATGATTTAAAAAGGTAGTTTAAAACTATTTAACTGGGTAAACATGAACTCTTTAAAAATACAGAATGAAGAGGTCCTGTTTACTAAGCTGAGTATTGATTTTTTTTTTCCTCAAGGTTACAAATACTATTTAAGCATTTTTTTTCTGCCCTTCTCCACCTGTTATTTATTTCTACCCATAACGTCATGGGGTAATTGTGTGTTTACCTGCCTAAATCTAGACTAGACTGTGAGCTCTTTGAGAGCAAAATCATTTGCATATAACTCTGACCCTCCAGTGCCTGACACTGTGCCTACCAAAGAGCTGCTAAATAAAACTTACATTTTTGAAATGCCATTCAAACTGAAAGTGATCTGAGAAATAGAAAAAAATGGAACTTTTCTTGTTTGATCATGTTTTCTTTTTGTGGAGAAGAAAGAGGCTTCCTTGTAACAAAAGACCACCTGGAGCTTCTGGTCCCGTTTCTGCCTCCGACTAAGTGTGTTTATTTTAAAATCACTCAGCTCTGCCCATGGGGTCGGCCCTGGACTCCTCTATGCCTTTAGAGTCTCATCATCTGAACCAAAACAAAATAAAAAAGAATAGACCCGTTGGAACAGTTGAAAATGGATTGTAGTCAGTTGTTAGACTCCAAGTTATTTCCTTATCATTACATCCCTGGCAGAATGAGATAAACACCTAAGTCAGACAGCCTGGATGTTTAGAGTGACACATGCCTAACAGACCAGGATGTAACATTACTGTATTCTACAAATTGTATCCCATGACCTACCACGCTATGACATGAAGTGAGTGAATCTACCAGGAGCATGCCTCTAATGCAGACTTCACAGGAGCTGGCCTTCCTCCAAAGAACCCGGGGCTAAAGGTAAAGCCAAGGCTGGGGGCTGCCTGACCCAGGAAAGAAAACTCCGACAAGGATGCCAAAAACATGTGTCAGAGGCTTAACTCTGAGCCCTAGACATTCTTACTGAGTTGTTAGCAGATGAGAGAATCGGGAGCTCTGAAGCCAAGGTGAGGAGCAGCTTTGATGTGGAAGGGAGCGAGTCCGGAGACTACGGCAGAAGAGAGACGACCAGAATGGCAGCAGGTTGGGTACATGTAGGCCAAATGAACCAAGAAGACGGTCAGCTCTTCTGAAACTGGGAGGAAGTGAGTCCTTTCCTTCCTGCCGCACCCACATAAACTGGAGTTGGGGTGCATCCAGATGCGCACCACACTGCATCTGGATTTAGAAATAGAAAATCGGACCCACACCCTGAAGACATCTGTATTTTCATTGAAGAAGCACAAATTATGTCAACTGAAGCCATTTGAATACAGAAAAATTTAAATACAGTAGTTTGAATAGAGACCATTATGTCTATGAATCTGAATTATAAAGAGCATTAGTGCACGAGTCCAGAATTCTCAAGAGTTCTTTTGGTTTCCTCTTCATGGTATTTCATTATCCAAGATTAAAGAATGAATGTATTCTCTAGTCATTGAGTTTTATCCGTAGTCATAGTCTGGGACCCAAACATCCCTGTGCAACAAAAGGGTTCCTCTCTTCAAACTTTGAAACAAGAGGCCCCCATGTCCCAGTCCTGAGGTATAATCTGGTTTAATTTAAAATTGTATTAATTAATTAGTAATAATAAATTGAGTATTAATTAGTAGTTATTATTAATGTCAATGCTAATGAATTAGTTATTACCAATGGCTATTGCACAGCTGTTATGGTCTGGGCACTGTTCTGCAACCCTTATTGAATACTCTTTCTAATGAAGGGACACTGACAATATATGGCATAAATTGGTAAAATATAAAGCCTGGTAGATGGTGACAGATATTTATTTAGGGTCCTTCTGGCCAACTTTTGTTTATGACATACAAAAAACCCTGAAATTTCCGAGGATAAGGAGGCTTTAAGCTAAGTGAACCAGGAGGGGAGGCAGTGCACATGTACACAGGTAGGTGCAGAGCAGGTATGAGGTCCTGGGTGAGGCAGCACCATCTGTTCAAAGACGAAGCTTCTTTTTAAAGGTCCTGTGACCATCTAAGTTCCTCTTGGTAGAATCACCCGAATAATTCAGATTAGGGCATTATTATGCCACTTCAAGTTCTGAGCATTCATTAATGATATTTCTGGACGCAGATTTATGTGAAAGTCCCCCTAGAGCTTACGTTCTTATTAGATAGTGCCTTAAATGTGGAGGACAGGTGTTTGTCTGAGGAAGCTTCACCTCTGAGGGTTGTTGAACATGTATTAACTGCCCTGTTTCTGGCTCACAGAATCAGTATTTCTTAGGGTGAGCTCCTGAATCTGTGTTTCGATAAAGCCTTTACGTGTATTCGCATAGTCTCTAAAGTTTGAGAAGCTCCGTGTAGAATAACAGGGTCTGATGCTATCCAAACATTTCAAATTTCTCCAAAGGTGACTTGATAAGTGCATATTGTTATGTATTATTTAATTAACTAGAGGCCCGGTGCACGAATCTGTGCACGGGTGGGAGGGGATGCGGGAGGTTCACCAGCCGGTGCTGCCCCTGATCAGTCAGTCAGGGAGGGCAATCACGGGCAGGGCTGGCCAGGGGGAGGGTCCGCGGGCAGTTGGCTGGCCAGCCCCACCCCCTGGTCAAACTCCTGGTTGAGGGGACAATTTGCATATTAGCCTAATATTGCATATTATTATATAGGATGTTATACCACTGTGTCTCTTCAGCAGTCCTCTTTTTGTTGAGTCCTCCAATTTTGTTGAGTCTTTCCAAGCTTAAGACAATGAATGCTGGACCAACATTTTGAAAAAATTCAACCAAAAAAACCCTCCAACTAACAGACCACATCAATGTGGTCAAGTTAGGAGGATTCAAGGTGTCATTATAATTCCCACTAAGTTACAACTGTACCAGCATCAGGATCAGTCTTCAATATGAGGACAAACCACACTTACCCACAAATATGTTCTTATTTAAAATTGCAAAAATATATTACTTTCTACATAAGAACTAATTTTCAAAAACCTCCTCAATTTAGAGTTTAATAAATACTTTTTAGAAAACAAATATGTAATAAATTCATCTTTTAGAAAAAAATGAATTAATGTTTTGTCTTTTTCAAGTCTTTTAATGTTTTGTCTCAAATTGTACTTCCAAAATTATATTTTTGCTCTTCAAATTTCTGCAGTTCTCTGGGAGGCCTCAGTTTTGTTTGGTCTTTAAATCCTGAGTAAGACATCTAGGACTGTGTTTCCATCTGCAGTATCTCCCTTTCAGGTGGAACTGCCACCAGGCAGAGGGGCTTCCTGGGATGCCTCCGGGCCCTGCAGCTGAACGGGCAGGCCCTGGACCTGGAGGACAGGGCCAGGGTGACTCCCGGAGTGGAGCCCGGCTGCCGGGGGCATTGCAGCAGCTACGGGAAGCTGTGTCGCAACGGAGGGAATTGCAGAGAGAAGCCCAGTGGATTCTCCTGTGACTGCACCTTCTCTGCATATTCAGGGCCTTTCTGCTCAGATGGTAAGGTTGACATGGGTACCTAAGAGGAAAACGTATCCAATATGAATAAACGTTTGATATTGTCTGTGTTGCTATTTGAAACATATAAATAAAATCCATTTCTCTTTTTGTTTTGTTATTTTTGCAAAATATTTTTTTTTGCTCACCACACTTTATTTCTTAGGATTGCCTTAATTCTTAAAACGTGTTTATTGATGATGTCTTAAAATGTTAAGTGCTCAATCTGATTTTTTTTCTATCTAATATTAGTGCTGTTATTATGGTTGTCAACAACCTTCCCCTTAGGACAGTTCTCTATTGTAAAATTATTAAGGGTATTATTGTTATTTTTATTTTATATTTCTAATCCTCACCCTAGGATATTTTTTTCCATTGATTTCTAGAGAGAGTGGGAGGGAAGAAAGGGAGGGAGGGAGGGAGGGATGGAAGGAGGGAGGGAAGGAGAGACATCAACACGAGAGGGACACATCAGTTGGTTGCCTTCCACGTTAACCCTTACCAGGGCCAGGGAACTTTCAGCCGAGGTACATGCCCTTGATCAGGAATCGAACCTGTGACCCTTTTGGTCCCTGGGCCAAAGCTCTAACCACTGAGAAAACAGACCAGGGTAATTATTGTTATTTTTTATGAAGATAGTCAACAACGCAGGAAAATCTAGGACACGTTGTTGGTTTTTTTTTGTTTTGTTTTTTGCTTTTTCCAAACAGATATTTCTCTAAGAATATAAATACATTTTTCCTTATATATCGTTGTATAACAAAATATGGGCATTTTGCTCTATAATGTGTCAAGTATCTGGTTGTGAATTAAAATAGTGAAATATTTTTCAGCTTGTCTTGTTCACTGGTCTACATCATGGAAGGAAAAAGAACTGAGGTAGTATTAAGTGTTTTGGACAGGCGTCTCTGAATATACAAACGTTTGTTATACTTTCATAGTTTCTCATAGAAAACTGTTGTCCAGTCCAATTCAGTTGCTTTATTTAAATGTTTTGGCTTAGTGGACCTTTTCTGAAAGGAGAGTAACAACAACAGGCTCCAAATTGAAGCCACCTCCAATTTGCTACGAAAGCATTGGGGATTATTTAATGAAAAGTTGTCAAAAACGCACTCTGCACGTTATCTGCTTTTTCTCAGGAATGAGTTATTATTTTGAAGTCCACCTGTAGTCATAAATCGCACACTGCTGCTGCCATTTTAGGAGGCTTTTCACATTTAAAGTTAGAATTAAGACTGCTTGGTCACCGGAACATGTCTTCATTTCCTGAATCGAAATGATTTCTGTTTCATATTATTAAGTGCAATCAGGAATTCTGTATCCACATATTATACTGAATATAAAAAAGTATGTAATAGATAATAAAAGTAATAAAGGAAAGACCTCCTGAAGTTCCGCAGTAGTGGAAACAATATTAACAATACGCATCATCCACAACTCAGATCCAACAACTGGGCCTGCATAGTAATGGATAGAAACAGGTTCTGGATGCAGCACTAACTGTCTTTCCCACTGTCCTCTTCATTTTATGCATGTGTATTTGGCGTGGGAGTGCGTGTGCATGTGTGTGTGAATCTGAGATATTAATCTCACGGGGGTAAAATACTCTGCCTGGGTACAATGATTTAAACGAGGCTGGGTAGTTCCTATGTGCATCTCTGCTACACAAATGCCCGTTTCTCCTATTCTGGTAGACTTTTTAGTGCACAGTGAGTAGGAGAAAGTCTTTAGACAGAAAGGAACATTCTGCCTGCTGATCCTGGAAGGTCATAGAATGCCTCACCCTTCTTTTCTCCCTGATAGAGGAAGGCTAATGTATTCTGGCTATAAAATGATAGGTGGGCTTAAAAGTTACACAATAAAATGGATGGGAAGGGAGATGAAAGTCAAGAAGCCTGGTTTATGTTTATACTTGGGGGGTCGGGGGGGGGAGCATTAAGCTTTCAATGATGAGATTAACTAGTGGATTAATTACATATGATTTTAACATAAAGCCATTTCAGTGACCATTGTGAAAGCTCTGTTAATCTATAGTGTTATTTAATTCTGGTTCGAGGGTATTTCTTATATTTATTTAATTTGTTATTTTTAATTAAAAATATCAGTTAATATCACTGAAACAAGATCCTTGGTCTTAATTTTTAATATGAGATGTATATATCATTTCAGAGATTGCTGCATATTTTGGATCCGGCTCATCCGTGGTTTACCATTTTCAAGAAAATTATCCCTTAAGTAAAAATTCCAGCTCCCATGCTGCTTCATTTCATGGTGATCTAAAGCTGCGCCGAGAAATGATCAAATTTAGCTTCCGAACAACACGGACACCCAGCTCACTGCTCTATGTGAGCTCCTTTTATAAAGAGTATCTTTCAGTCATCATTGCCAAAAATGGTGAGTGCTTTTTAGATGAGAGAGAGAAAATTGAGTTAGAGCATTACATCAGTAATAATACAGATCATTCTCGTGTCCTTGCTTCTCAGACTACAAACAGGAAGAAAAAATGTGCCTGTCTTTTGTATTCAATTTTGTATTTTCACTACTGTCCCATAAATTCAATCTAAAAGGATGATTGAAAGGAATTAAGATGCCTTTATCTCCTTGTAATTTTGATAAGTATACATAGTCCATATGAATTATAATTTATTATATAAAATATTTATTATATTTTATTATTGCTAGAAGATCTTTACTATTCCATATGAATATCAGCATCAGTGTTGTGGTTGATTTTGAAATAAGATGTCACTCTGCACATAACAAATATTTCCTTTAAATCAAAGTACAAAATTTTGGAGGAATGCTTACCAACTAGTATTGTGTATAAGAAAATGTCCACAAAATAATCTGTTGATTCTAATTATAGGCAATAAAATAGTCATGGACAGTGCTGGTGCCTTGATGCAGGGTAATTGCGGGTGGGTTAGGACGTGTGATTCCTACAGAAACCTTGTCACAGAGACTACTTACTGCTATTTTTTCTCTTCCCTTTATCCTGATTAAAGATAAAAATGTCATAAATACATTCTCTGCATGAGAAAAATAAACACATTTACAAATGTGAATATAGCATTTCAATAAAATCAAACATGGCCCATGGGCACTGAAGGCCAAAGTAAAAATAATGTAAAAATATTGTTTAATAGGTATGTTTGCCTTCACTGTATACATTTTGAGCTTAAAGCTTATCTATATGTTGGGACATTTTCTTTGTTAAATTGGAAGATATTTTGTGCAGTAAACTGGCATCATTACAGGCAGTTGAGTACTATAAATAGTAAGTTTGGCTTAAAACCATTTATTTTACTCTAATTTCATCCCAAAATTTAGACCATGACCACTTGGCCAAATATTTCTCATCTTTAGTAAAACTACATTTGCTTAATAATTTTATTAATCAATTACATTTCAAGGGTGGAGATTATAGAAACAGAATGTTATTACAATATTCCACAATAGTTTGGTATTTTATAATATACCAAGTCTTTTTTTTCTTTTAGTTAGAGGCTAGTACAGATATTTATATTTACTTACTTCCATATTGACATCTAGGGGGCGGAATTAAAAATTTGCAGGAAAAACAATGCAACAGGCTTGGTCTTGATTTCACATAGAAACTGACTTCTAGGAATTATGAAGAAAGGATACACCCCCAAAAATATTGTGAATTTCCCTCAGAAATTACTAAATAACAGCAAATGAACTCTGAATTTTTATAAGTAATTTTTAAAATACAATTTTAACTGGAAATTTAATTTCCCTCCCTACTTTAGGAAGTTTGCAGGTCAGGTACAAGCTGAATAGATATCAAGAACCAGATGTCGTTACTTTTGATTTCAAAAACATGGCTGATGGGCAACTTCACCACGTCCAGATTAACAGAGAAGAAGGAGTGGTCTTTGTAGAGGTAACGTAGTCAACCCTAGAGAAGCCGGGGTTACAGTTAGGACTGGCCAGCATGAAGGACCCGCAGCAGACATGTGATAATGGCTGCAGTCAACAAAGTCATCCTTTCAGGGCTGCTGGTGCACAGCCCCTACCGTCAAATGTGTGGTCAGAGTGCTTTAAGGGGGATGAGATTCTGTCCAAGATATTATTACTATTTTATACTCTAATATACAAACTTCCAGCATTTGTTTTACTGCTCAGGAGGGAAATACTGTCTAGTTTATCATCGTGCACTACTGGGGGGACTGCTGCTGCTCCGATGAAACCCGTTCGCTTCGGAGGGGTCTAAACGCAGCCACAATTCTAGCACTGAAATTAATTACTGCAACATCAGTAAATATAAAAGTAATGTGAGTCACAGCAGAGAAAGTGGAAGGATTCTACCAGCTTTGGAAGGAAAGCACTAATGTTTCAGCATAGAAGAAAATTTCTTAGCCGAATAACTCAAGTAAAAAAACAACAACAATGTTGGCTTTTCAATTTTGTCTTTCTCATATAGTGGAGAAAAATAAAGCGATTAAGGGGATAGGAGATGGGGTGCAGTGGTATCTGAGGGTAATATAGAAATAGTTTAGAAAATAATATTCAATTTTATATATGGCTAACCTTTGGGGCCATACTAACCATTGCCTCTTTTATCATTTTGGGGCTGTTTTTTTCCTTTGCTTCCTGTCCTCTTCTCAACAAAATGGCATCCATGTGGATTTTGGCATCTCATATGACAATTTTGTAGATTGACGAGAATGCAAGGAGGCAAGTCCACCTGTCATCAGGTACAGAATTCAGTGCAGTCAAATCTCTTGTACTGGGCAGGATTTTAGGTAAGTAAAGAAACAACCTTTCCTCTGATTCTGATGCATAGACATGGGTTAGAAGAGTCATATTCCAAACACACACACACACACACATACACACCACTGCAAATTCATCATGCCCCCACCCCTCCCCCACCCCCACAAAAATCTCTGGCCTTATTTTAGTTACAAGGCAGCAAGTGTACTTTCTAAGAGGTGTGTGTAATTCTGAGTAGGGACCTGTAGGGTGAGCAAGCATTCTCCTTCATAATGTTACAATGCCACTCTGGCATAATGAAACAAGGTATTGTTCTCACATTTCAAAAATATCAAATAATAGCCCTTGCCTGGGTGTCTAAGTGGTTAGAGTGTTGGCCTATACACAAAGGGTCTTTGGTTTGATTTCAGGTCAAGAGCACCTACTTGAGTTACAGGTTTGATCCCGATCCCGGGCCCCAGTCTGGAGTGTTCGGGAGGCAACCAATTGATGTGTCTCTCTCCCTTTCCCCCTCCCTCCCTCTCTCTCTTTCCTCCTTATTTTCTCCATCCCTACCACTCTCTCTGAAAATCAATGGGAAAATATCCTCCAGCAAGAATTAACAAAACAAAACAAGAAATCAAATAGTAAGAAAGAACAGGTTACCTAACTATTTCACCCAAGATAGTAAATGTACTTAATTTTTTTTTACCTTTTCCATGATTTGTACCTTGATCAATCATTCCTTATATTCCCTGTACATAATCTCACAATATTGAGAATGTTTGATTAAGCCTATGGGTGAATGATCAAAATATTGGCCTTGGAGAAGATTCATAGTTAAGTTTATAAATATTTATAGGCTTTCTAGTACCATGATGAGTATCACAATTGTGTGCTCTTACTCTCCAGACTAGGGAAATATCATGGATTGCAGTGTTCTTCCAATGTGCTAGAGTGGACATAAAAAATATGTGCAAAGTATTGTTGAGATAGTTGGAAGCTTAACTGAAATATTCCAAATGCATTTCATAGTGTAAATTATATAAATTCAACAATAGCAATAAAAAAATCAATTGAATATAACATATCTTCAGCTCAAGCATTCCTCAGGGTAGTAGGGTCTGAGATGAGGCATTATGTAACAATGTAAAATACAAAGTAGAACATCCTAACAATTATGTATAGTGTTGATAAAATCATATTTTTGAAGAAATAACATCCTCAAATTTAATGTCTGAGTTACTGATTAAAATATTTTTGTGAGTAGAAATATATTAAATATATTATAAAACTATTGAGAAACTGATCTTCATTTTATGAGGAGGATTGTATTAACCAAGGAGAATAATAACATTCATTATATAAATATTTATTTTCCTTTTTGTAAAGAAATAGGGGAGATTAGTATGGAATTAAAGATGTTAATGTTTTTATTCAAGATTAGCATATTATTCAAATGCATATTGCTCATGCTGAAAAATAAGATTAAAGTCCAAATTCAGCAATGAACTGCTACTCATTCTCCTAAAAGTATAAGAAAATTTATTTGACGTGTACCTAAGGTTTGGATCTTGACAGAGGACTAATGCTGAGTTCAAATCATTTGTAATTCCAAATAGACTAATAATTTATGGTCAAATTTAGTGTGGTATATGACATTACAATAAAATGTTATGTAGTACATTATTATATTTTAATGCAGTATATTAAATTATAGTAAAATAGATGCTAAAATGGAACTATTAATTTTCCAGAGAGTTGCTCAGTCTTGAAGTTTCTCATTATGTTAGTCCAGGTCCTCCAAGAAGCAGGTGAAAAGACAAACTTAACCATGTGAGGGTTTTATTAAGGGAACACTTGTGAGAAAGAAAATTGGGAGGGAGTTGGCCAAGACCAGCATTGCTATCCGATGGTCAAGCAACTCGGCCTCCAAATGAAGGGGCGGGAGGGAAAGTTAGACAGAAGTATCCTGGACTCTTGTGCAGTCTGACAGAGATTTCACACCCTTGGGAGGTCCCTGGAGTCCGTCAACCATTAGAGGAATCCCATGTTTTCCACTAAGGGGCCTGCCTTAGAGTCCCTGCTGTGGCCAGCCATTGGCTGGGAACAGTCCGTGGGAAGCATGGCCTTGGCCCAAGCATGACAATGTGTTTCAGAGCCTGCAGCGGTGGCCCCTGGTCAGTTACTCTCCTCTAGTTGGAGGTCTGCAAGGCACATGCTTACTGACCCTGCTTATCAACTATGGTTGTCCTTTTTGAAAGCCCATTTGGCTCACTGATTCGTTTAACTCCTAGTTTGTCATCCCCTGTTGTGTAATGCAAGAAGGTCACACAGCAAGGTAAACATTGCATCTGCCCCCACAGAGCTCATGGTTTGTGGGCATACAGATGATCATTATACAAAGTGTTGTTCTGTATTTAATTGAATATACCCTATGTTGCTTCAGATAAAAGAGTTCCAAATCACCCTCCAGATTAAAATACATTAAAATACTTGTATCATTTTATAATTTCTGAATATTTTTTAAGGGAGCAGAATATAAATACTAACCAGTTGTTTCTTTGGAGTTGTCATTTTCTCCATTGTCCACCAAAGACTTAAGGATATGACCATCCACTGCAATTTCAGATGGAAACCCAGAAAAGAAGAAAATACTTTCCCACTCTCACTTTCTCCAGTATTCATTTCTTAAATCCAGGAGGAGCTAAGGGGTAATTTTGGATTACTGTCAATGTTAACAAATATTAGAAGCAGATATTGAGAAAGGAAGTTAAATTTTAAGAAAAAATATCAAATTGTACTAAGTTCCTATTACACTTCAAATTTTTAAAGGCTCACTAACTTCGGCAATAATAATGTATTAAGTTGCGAGCGATCGTGGAAAAATCAAGGCTTTAGCCAAGCAGGTCCTCCTGTCATGAATAATATAGTACATTAAGTTTGCTTTTCATATTCATAATTCACTGTAAAATTAAGCTCTGAATTCTGTACCCAGATGCTTTGATATGTTAGAATAGTTTTATGATTTATTATAGGTACAAGCTGGTTACTTTTTCTCATTCTGATTGGTAGTATTCATATGTTAGAGGTGATGACCAGTGGTCATTGCTCTCTTACTGAGGCTACGAGCCAGGAAGCACACGCAGGTCACTGCAGTGCAGGTGTGGTCAAGTGTAAATAAAGTGTGCAGTCAGCAAGGGAAGGGCATCTACTCAGTCTCACTGAAGAGCCGTGAGAACAATTTTCAATGTGTCAGAAATCCTTTATGTAAAACCAGCCTCCATGCCTAGAGGCAAGGGGAAAAGGTGACTTAGATAACCAAGGGCACTGTGACTTTGTAAATACAGGGTGGGCAAAAGTAGGTTTATAGTTATTTATATGGAAAATAATAAAATAAATAATAATATCAGAATAAACTGTTTTGCGTACTCACAACTGTAAACCTACTTTTGCCCCACCCTGTATATTGTGAAATGCTTTTTAAGATAATGAACTGGTTACTTTGAAAGCAAGTTTTAAAGGAGACATACAGTTTAGAGGTAGCAAAGTAAGAAAACTACTGAAAATCATTTATTTTTAAGTGAGCAGGTTGATTTTTAAATATTTTAATATTCAAAATGTCATAGACTATCTTCAATATATAGTGTGATTTCATTCTTGTAAGAAACTACCTAAAATCATAGTTTATATTCATCACATTGATTTTTGAATATTTTAACAAAATGTCATAGACTTCTTCAGGGTGTGGTGTGACTTCATCCTGCGTTGGTCCTTTTCAGAGTTAGCTGGATTATTCTGCACTACCCAGACCTAGAAACTGAAAAAGGCCATTTCTCCTTATTATGACGCATGAGCATAGGTCAGAAGTGTCATGTCCCGAGTCCAGAGAACACCCATGACATCGAAACATGTCCTCTGATTTTAATTATAGAGCAAATGATAAGGTCAACATTGGGGTTTATCAGAGTCACAGATCATCACAAGTAACTCCAGGTGGGAGGGACAAGCATGCTCACACACCCCTGTCGCCTTCATTTGGCCATCAAACATACAACATAGAGCTCTACTTACACCTCAAAAGTGCCAAATGATGAAAGTAGTCACAAAGCCCAAATTATATATGTTAACACTAGAATAATCTCTAAAATAAAAAGGAGAAAGCGATTATTTCTTTAATTACTAACATGCTTTAAAATGTACCGGCACCATGATTAAGTAAAAAATAAAGCCATGATCAGGTACTCACACTGTTGTGTGAGTGGATTTATTAAAGAACAGGCATTGATGGGAGAGAGCAGGGGAGGGGAGGGAGATTGGCAGGGGTGTGGATTCAGGACCTCAGGGGTGAGAGAGGGCACAGCCACAGCAAAGTGACACTGGACAGGCCAGTCTAAGGGTCTGCAGGACTCATCAGAATAAGATGAGTGAATTCTGCTAACCATCTCCAACCCTCTATTCAGTGTTGTCTGTTCACTGAATAGAGGGTTAGAGATGGTTTCCTTGTCATCATAGCACAATTTGATATTGTTACACCAGAATTGCTCTCCCTGCTTGATACCTGCTGGTAATGGTCGTTAATGATGATTGGAGTGAAAAAAAGTGTTCCTGCCGCGCATCCTCATTTGTAGAACCTGGTGCTGGAGGACCAAGGGAGGGCCGTTCATTCTCTGTGGTCTCCTGAATAGGCAGGCAGCCTGGAGTCGTTCCTCGTTCAGCACGTTCAGGATGTACCAAGCACCAATGCCAAAGCTGATGATTCCTCAATCAGCTCCTTTAGGAGAACAGTTTACTCAAAAGTCATATAAAAAGAGATCTCTCTTGCCCTTGCTGGTTTGGCTCAGTGGCTGGAGCATCGGCCCGTGGACTGAAGGGTCCCGGGTTCAATTCCGGTCAAGGGCACATGCCCAGGTTGCAGGCTTGGTCCCCAGTGCGGGGCGTGCAGGAGGCAGCCAATCAATGATTCTTTCATCATTGATGTTTCTCTCTTCCTCTCCCTTCCTCTCTGAAATCAATAAAAAATATATTTTAAGAGAAAGAGAGAGAGAAG